TTTCATTTAAAAGACATTTCATGTGTCAGTAAAATACTCTAATGATCTGTGTCCGTCGACTGCAGTTTGTTCCCTGGAACATCGTATTTACAGTCAAACCACATGAACTTTATTGATGACAGAATCCAACTGGGTCCAAAAACACCTTCAGTGTGAACTTCACTTTTTAACTGCTGCCCTCTTTTATATACGACTCTCTTTCTCTCTATATTAATTTCTCTCTTTTTTGTCATTGTTTTTCAATAATTTTAAGAATATTTTTGAATTTCAATTGAATTATTCGACATTTGAAGCTGTGTCGTGAGAATGTCAAACACAGTGAGATCATTGCTGAAACTTCAGAGGTGAAACAAGCTTTTATGTTTCACATAAAACCACATAGAAAATAATCTGAAGTGAGATTAACTGAACCTAACACCAGAGCTTTATTTTGGAGTGAAATGTATGATAAATAATGTATTTAAAATATTTAATAATAAAAGAGTGATCTTTTTCTCCAAGTGAGTAACTGAACATAAAATTACTAAGAAAAATTCTTGCTAATCTATAAAACTAGGTCTAAATTAAATGAGCATCGTGTATTAATAATGTTAGAAGCAGGATCCCAGGAGGATGAAGAGCACCTTTGATTGAAGCTGCTGTTTTCAGTTAACGCAACTTGGTTTGAATTCAAACTATTTAATTAGCTTTTTAAATTTGTTTATAGTTTTTTTTAATGCTGAAGGTTCAAAACCAATGATTCACTTATTTATTGTTGTTGTTTAAATCCAACAACAGGGCTAAAATAAAACTTAACACTGTGCTCATTTACTGGGTTATTCAAAAATGCTTTTTTATCACTATTACCAGCACGGACACATTTCTCATTTAAAGTTTTTCTTTCCCAGATTCAATTTTTACTTCTTGCAAAATAATAATAAAAAAGAAGACAGAGATCTTGTAAGAACAGCTGCTTGGAGCACCTTTTTTCCTTGTATTTACATTTTTTTTGCACTAATTTTATTCAGTGTTTTATTTTTTCTGATGAATTGTACTGCGTGATTTAGTTTTGATTAATTGAATTATTTGGTTCTCTGCTAAACAGAAGGACTAAAATGTTTTTAAAAGTGTTTCTTTTGGCTACAAGGTATTTTTTGTTTAGAAAAATAACTATAACAATCTAATGACGATGAAATTATAGAAATAAAGTGCATAATGATTACATTTGTGTTATAAAAAGAATTTTACGTTATGCGCTTTGTGGCTTTTCATTTCAATTCAAATTCAAAAACACGTTATTAATCCCAGAGGGATACCCGAGCCACACCGGTCTGAGGACAGCTTGTCCTGTACGAAAACACTGCTCTAAGACATACACCACTGCATCCAGGTGCAGGGGCGGATTTAGGACTGAAGAAGATCCGGGGCGTAACACACGCACGCACGTGCGCGCACACACATACACACACACACGTCACACGCACTAGTCTTTTCATAAAACATTCGGGGCTTGAGCCCAAGTAGCCGGGCCTAACGCCGGCCCTGCAGGTCAGTATAAACATCAGGTTTCATCCTTCAGTTTCAAGACGGACAATTGACCATGTGTGTCAGCTGAAAACTCTTTTATTTTTAATTGTACCATAGAAGTGCCCAGCAACTGTAGAGCATCAATGTGGATCGGCAAAACTTCATCATTTTCCTCACACATCTGCTAATATTTTCGCTGTGTTTTCTGTTACTGTTTTACATCTTTAAATCATTTGGGCTGAAAATGATTCTATCCACTTAAGCTCAGCGTACCAAACCTCAGGAGGGTTAGTCTGAAGCCAACCAGATGCGTTGTGGGGCGGGGTGTCAAGATGGTCTCAGGTGCCGTTTGAGACTCACCATGCGCTCAACATTCCTGCCTGACGTGTGTGTTGAAGAGCCGCTGATGCTCGCAGTAATACACGAATCTTTGGTAATCAGATAGCTCCATTAGCTACATGCTATAGAATTTCTAACAATGATTTCATTCTGTGCTTTTAGAGTAGCAGAAAACCTGGGCTCTGATCCCCTAAACCTTTTCCAGGGATTTGTTGAGCATCATTAAAGATAAATATAGGCTGCCTCATGAATGAACCTTTGTGTTTTTATTACTTTCCCCCCATTTTTAAGGGGATGACTGGAATTACACAGGTTTCTGTGGATCTTTGAGCAAATACAAAAGATATATTTTTATATTGGATAATTACAGCTTAGTAAGAGCTTCAACTGTTTAACTGATGGAAATAGTATTTTTTTTAAATTAGATAAATAAAAAAAACTTTTAATCTCTTCATTTTCCAGGATCTTTTGTTTTTTTTGTGATTCTCTGTATTTCTGTTTTTAAGCTACGTCTACATTGCGTTGGTATCTCGGTGGGCTGTGATGAATGGAGAAAAGATGAAAATTTGCAGATAAATGATACATAATTAGTGTGTTTGACACGTTTGCACAATATTTTATATCTATATCACGTAAATAGCTGTCAAAATGTTGTCACAGCACGTCTTAAATATTATTTTATTAGCCATTTTATTCTCATTTTATTAACAAACTCCTTCTGAAGTTGTGCCACATTTCCCCGCCTTTTCTCACTCATGTAATTAAACTCATGAATTTCAGGCTGGTTCTGCAACAATTATTTCTGAAATGTGTTAAAATTCCTGTGACAGCAGCAAGGTCCTGCAGTCGGAAACAAAAAACTCATTTAGTAAATATCTCTGTGACAGACGTTTGGAGTTTGTACCAACATTCAGCTAAGTCAGATTTTGACTTCAATCAGGTTTCTGTTTCTCATTTATTTTCTATTTTAAATCTATTTTTTTATATTTATGTATTTGCGCTTTCTGCTTCCCCAACTCACTTGTTTCATGTTCCTAAAAATCACATCTGCTTTAAGTTTCTCAGTATTTATTGTTTCTGGTTGTCATCCCCTCTACAGTACCTCCAGGTGCTGAGAGTTCATTTGGTAAAAATATAAGTTCAGTTTCATTTTTTTTTACTTTCTGTCTGGGCAGCACCTCGTGCTTTTAATGTCATTTCCTCCTCTGAGGGCCATCCCTCCATTAGCCCTGCAAAACACACACACACGCACACACACACACACACACACACACACACACACGCACACACGCCCCCCCCCCCCCGCCCCCCCCAGTACATCAGAATACTTGTTTACACCTGCAACTAATAAAAGGATATTTTGAGAACAAACAATTTATAATATTTTTAAAAATAGAGGAGTATTAGGGCCACTGGAAAACATTTTTTTTTAATTCTGAGAAGCCAGAAATCTGGTATTAGGATCAGGATTCTGACAATGTTCTATTTTTTCTATTTTGAGGTTTATAATTTGCTCTAAAGTGTTCACCAGAGGAAAAAAACAAAAACAGCTAGAACAGACTTTTAATAATTTCACATAAACAATGTTGTGCAGAAATATGTGACCTTGTGTTGGAGAGCATCAGACAGCTTAGTGAGCAGAGGCTCCGCCCAACATGGTCCAGTAAATATAAACAATATGGACACTGTAGTTATGGGATGAGCAGAGTCGGTTTTTCTCTCAGCAGACCAAAACGATTATTTCTGTTGAATTTTTATTCGGTCACGCCTCCAGTTTTGTGTAATAATGAAAGTTTTCTATTTTATGCATTGATGGAATAAATGTGGAGCAATTTTGGGCTTGACAGCTGCAGAACAAAAACATCAGCTGGAACAAAAAAAACATGTGCAGCTTATGAGAAGTAAAATAGTTCAGCCACATTGTGGATAAAACTCCCCGGAAACCTTTTTCTGAGTACACCGCATTCAGACGAAAACATCTCCTCACTAAGAACAGCTAATGATTAATGAGGAATTTTAGTGGGCCAATCCGACGAGTTTATACTGGAAAGCTGAGATGTGAACCGTATAGTCAGGCTTTGTGGTGTTTTGTTTAGGAGCAGATCTCAGATCTGTGTCTTAAGTGTGGTTGATTGAAAAAACATTTTTGATGATAATTTCTAATTCTCATGGGTCACTTTGGGTGTTTCATTAGGCTGAACGTGAAAATAGTCTCCTGCACCTATCTCCTGCATTAGCTTCTGATAGAAAATAGATGGTGAAACTCTAGGATTAGAAAAGTCTGACAGATCTACGTCACACTGTCACCTAACATTCATGGAGTCATGGTTTAAAGTCCAGGAAACAACAGAGAACGTCCCCGGCCAGCAGAATCTACCTGCTAGCATTAGCGACTCAAAAAACGTAGAACTCTTCCAGGTTTGCGTTATTTGTGTAGATAAAACATTCATGTTGCAAGTCAGTGGTAGAGTCGCACTGCTGTTATCCAATCCCATGATAAATGTTCAAAACTCCGGAAATAAGTCTCCAAAACCTGTCTTCTGAATCTTAGCTGTGGTGTGGGCCGCTTGGAGTTCTTGGAAATGATGCACTAGTATGTTGTGATTTGATTCGATTAGTTTTGGTGCCATTTCACACCCAAAATGTGCCTTTTTAATGGAAATGAAACCAAACTCAGCAGGTTCATCTGAGTAACAACTCAACAACTCAGACTTTGAAAAACTTGAACTGCAATTCTTACATAAATCCACCCCTTTGTTATTATTTCTTCAAATGATTCTCAAGTGTTGGTGCTGCTGTAACAAGCAGATTTCCCCACTGTGGGATCAATAAAGTCTATTCTATTCTAAAAATGTCAAGCTTTAAAATGAACTTTAATAATAACAAATAAAAAAAAAACAAGAATGAAAGAAAAATCCAGGATTATTTTTTTTATTTTTACTACTAATTAGCATATAAATGAATGCAATATTTCATACTATTATTGTTGTAAAAATTCTTCCACTTTGCTCCAATTATAGAGCTTTTTAGTCGATGGATGCATTTTTATATTAAAATTAACAAAACATTTAAATGGTCCTAAAAATGTTGTTTCCCCCCCCCCCCCCCCCCTCCCCCGTTTAAATGGGCTTCTTCTCTTGTCTCTTTAATTCCAGAGAATGATGCTGACGTCCCTGATGCTCGGCTGCATCGTCTTCACTGCAACGCAGTTTTATTTAGGCTCCGCCCACATGATCCTTGATGAGCGACTCTCCACCAATATGGCTGTTGTGTCCAACGCTTTGTCCCAGAGCATTGAGATAGAAACACCCCCTGTTGTTATTGTAGGTAAATATGGACTTGAGTTTTTCCCCAATAAAAAGTACGACTTCAGTACAATTTAAAATGAATTTCACATATTTATAAAAATTCGAAATTTCCTGATTTAAATATCCTTTTTTTTCTTCCAGAGTTGGCAAAGTCTACAAAGAAGAAAGAGAAAACAAGAAAACAGAAAAAGGTGCTTTTAGGTTTTTGGCTAAATTTAACTTAATTGTTTTATGTGTTAAGCATCTAAAATCCTTCCTGCTTGACCTAAACTGAGAGTTGGAAAAAACACTACTTTACTATCAATATACCAACAAATAAAAACCACGTTCTACAATGAATATGCTGAATGTGACTGGAAATGTTGCCACCATTGTGCTTTCATTAATAGTGGGTGTGTAATGGCAATAATTTGGCTATACAATAAATATCACAATACATGGAGGTGATACGATATATCGCTAAACTAAATACCAGATGATATTTTAAATATTTAATATTGTAAAACTCAGATAAGATGCTTCCATGACACAGTCAGTGTTCCAGCATGATCTTATTGTCCAGAGTGGAGGCTGTAAAAACTGTCAAAGTATGAATTGCACCTAACAAAACAAATTCAGTGAATGTTTACATATAAATTCTCAATTAAAAAAAAGCAATACTCTGCTTTAAAACATCACTTCAGCATTAACACAAAACATTATAGGTTTTCGGAGGACCAATCATATTTTTACACCCCTATTCATAACTGAGACCAAACTGAATCTAGAGCTTCTGATGTTAGCACAAAACAAGCTTGTTGAGTTGCACCTTGCAGCTTTAAAACTGTCCACAAGCTTCTGAGAATGTTTTATTTCCAAGCTCCAAATCCATCCACTCAGACCGACCATGGGGTCCTCGATTTTCAGGAGGATCAGTGTCCATCCCAAAAAGAAAAACCAAAACTTTTATGTAAAGGTGTACTTTACTGAAAATTCATTCTTAAATGATCATTTCTGATTCTAATTGGTCACTCTGAGTGTTTTGTGTAGGCTGAACATGAAAATAGTCTCCTACACCGATCTCCTGCTGTAGCATCTGATCGAAAATTGGTGGTGAGACTCTAGGATTTGAAAAGCCTGACAGATCTATGACACACTGCCATGGACTCACCCATCTTTACTCACGACGCAGAAGACTGTTGTTGGTTCAGCGTCCAGGAAACAGCAGAGAACGTCTTGTCCAGTGGTAGCTAACTATTAGCTTTAGCAACTTCACCACACAGCAAAACTCCTTCATGCTTGTAATATTTGTGGAGATAAAATATCAACATTGCAGAGCAAACAGAGTCAGAGCTGTGTTGCTGATGGCTAATCTGAGGTGAAAAGTCCAAATATCAGGAAATAAGACTCCGGTTCCTGCTGTGTTCAGCTCAACTCTGATGTGGCTCACTACCAGTTCCTGAAACATGAGCACCAAAGCTTTTTTCCCTCCAGAGCACAACTTACAAGGCATTTATTCCCACTAGAGACCACTGCAAATGTGTTAAAAATGAGTTAAGTTCAACATTAATGGGCAATTCAGTTTGGGTATCTTTTTGTCTCCTGTTTTTTTTTTCCCTTCATATTAGTTCCCAAACATCAATCTTTCACTCCTGGAAAGGAGGTGGGAGTGTCCGTGCAACAGTCAGATAAGCAAATGTACAGAAGATGCTGCAAAACAGACAAAAAGAGAAAACCTTCCATGATTCAAAATACCCAACACGAGACAGGAAGATGACCAGACAAGCCAAGCAAACGATAGACAAGCTCACTCAGACATGAGTGAAAGCAATTTATAGAAATAAATGAACAGGAAATTAGGTAAAAAAAAATAAATAAATGAAGGAATATCTTCATTTTATTAAAGTTTTCAACACTCAAATATCCATTTACAGTTTTGATTCTTAAAAAATGTCAATATTTGTACACAAAATTGCTGAAAATCCTCATATTTGGGCACATTTTGATTATACTTGCATTGAAAATTTACCATACAATGTTGCAGCTATTTCTAAATCTAGGTTTTATCTTACACTAAACCTGTGAGTAGTCATCTGACTCATCCCCCTGGTTTCTTTTCTCTCAGAGCAAATTTGCAGTGAAGAAGCGACCTCCTCCCCCCCCTAACTGCATCCCCCTGTGGGGGAGCTGTAAATCACCAGAAAATGTGTGCTGTGATTTCTGCGCTTTCTGCCAGTGTCGGCTCTTCAAAACTGTCTGTCTCTGCCGAATGGGCAACCCCGGCTGCTAAAGGTCAACGACGCTCCGTGTCCATGGGGTTCAATTACCAGTTAAAGGAAACCACATGCGGGGAACGTGGTGAAAGGTGATTCACTTTACAGACCTAGTTTGTAATTTTTCTCAAAACTCACAGCATGAAAGCACTTTATCACAGAGGATCGCTCCACGGCAAACTTTACTGAAGTGGAACAGGGTGTGAGGCTTTTAGCACTGCTATGACACTCAAAATAAAAGATTTCATTTTTCTTTGAGCTGAGCTTGTAGGACACGTACATACATGAACTTATATGATCAGATCTATGCTATGTTTACATATGACTACACAGACTCTCAGTGTTACCATTAAATACGATTGGTGTTAAAATCACATGAATCTATTAAGAATAAAGTGTCTTTTCGACCAATTAAATTCTCTGTTTGACTTTTTTTATACCGTTTCTAAAATCTCAGACATATATATATATATATATATATATATATACACACACATATATATATATACACACACATATATATATACACACACATATATATATACACACACATATATATATATATATATATATATATACACACACATATATATATATATATATATATATATATATATATACACACACACACACACACACACACACACACACATATATATATATATATATATTTCTTAGTGCTTTTCTTTGTCACCACAATGTTTGGTGTTTCTACTCGGGTCGAAAGAATCCACGCTTCGTACTGATGTCCACAATTATTTTATTTCTCTCTGACAAGCATGGAGCACCGTGAAAACTAGAAACAAGTAAATTAATATCAATAACATATATGATATTCATCTCAGCCACTTATTTCTTTCCACAAAGTGCACAAGTGTTAAACGAAGAACAGTATAACGTTTTTTACCGTGTACGCCTTGTAAAACCCAGCAGTAGAAAAGATGTATGTTCCAAAAGTCCGCCGTGTTACCGCACCGTGTCGTCTCTCCCGCGACTCACAGGAAGCGACTACCTCACAACAATCTCAACAGAAACATTTCTTATAAGAAAGACGTATAACTCCACTGCACAGATACACAATATGAGTACCAAATAAAGAAAACAAAACAGAGACAACGTACCGATCTCCGATGCGCTGCTGGTGTTGTCATGGCAACCAACACAAACATTCCAACGTCAGTTACACTCCCACCAATTACCTTTGATTATTACAATTGCGAATGTGAATACACTTGTATTGTTCATTAAATCAATGGTAATTCCCAAGCACCGTGTTGTTATGTTAAAACACTCTTGCATTGACATAAACAATATACTTTTCTCAAACAATGAATTCAACAATATGAACAGAATTTACATCTCCACAACATGTGCATGAAGTACAGCATAATGACAACTTGTATTTTAGAAGGGAAATCTAATCAATGAATGACATATTTTTCTCATTTTTTACCAGGACCACTAATTTCTGAATGGGTCTTTGAATGATGGATGGTTGGACGAGGCGTTCGCCTCTCTTTCCTAATTTCCTATCACCAGTCTGGATTGTCACCTTCCGTACAAGTCCATCATCATCCTCATGTGCTTCCACAACCCTAGCGAGTTTCCATTCATTGCGAGGAACATCTTCTTCTTTGAGAATCACAATGTCACCCACCTCCACATTACGTCTTGGTGTATGCCATCGCTGTCTCAGAGCAATATTGGCCAGGTATTCCTTTCTCCATCTGTGCCAAAATTGCTCAGTCAGATATTGGACCCTTCTCCACCGTTTCTTAGCATACAGGTCCTCCTTGACAAATTTACCTGGAGGTGGAAGTGGGATTGAGGATTTCATGGTGATCAAGTGGTTCGGTGTGAGTGGCTCCAAGCTTTTGGGGTCGTTGATGTTATCAACAGTGAGTGGGCGGTTATTCACGATGCACATAGCTTCATAAAGGAATGTCCTTAATGAGGCATCATCCAGCCTTCCCACACTGCAGGCAAGGACCGTGCTCAGTACGCTTCTCACTGTCCGGATTTGGCGCTCCCATGCGCCTCCAGCATGACTAGAGTGGGGCGTATTCATCTGGAAGTCACACTGTTTTTCTGCCAGGTATGCAGTCACTCTTTCCTTATCAAGTTCTTTCAGAGCCTTTGCCATCTCGTTTCTTGCCCCCATAAAATTAGTTCCCTGATCAGACCTAATGTGTCTAACAGCTCCACGAAGGGCAATGAAGCAGCGCAAAGCATTGATGAATGCGTCAGTCGTCAAATCCTCCAGCATCTCTATATGCACTGCCCTTGAGCAAAAACATGTGAAGAGGAGGCCGTACCGTTTTTGATCTTTGCGACCCTGTTTGGTGTGAAAAGGACCAAAGCAGTCCATACCACAATAAGTGAATGGTGGTGTGGGATCAACACGGTCACTAGGTAGATCTGCCATTCGTTGCTCCTCTGGTGGCGCGCGGGCTTTCCTACACTGTACGCACTGCCTGATGTATTGGGCCACAGCCTTACTTCCACCAGCGATCCAGTAACCATTGACTCTGAGTGCATTGAGGGTTTGTCCTCTGCCTTGGTGTTGTATCTTGGTATGATGGTGTGCGATGATGAGGTTTGTAACAGCACCATCTTTAGGAAGGATCACAGGGTGTCTTAACTCGAGAGGCACAGATGCCTTCCTTAATCTTCCTCCTACTCTCATTATGCCATCTTGGAGGAATGGGTCAAGCTGAAAGAGTGGGTGGTTGCAAGGCAGCCTTCCTAGTTTCTGGCTGAGTGTGTTTAACTCCTCTTGAAAGGCATCTTGTTGTGCAAGCTTGACAAGAGTCTGTGCAGCTTGTTTTCTCTCTTCCACGTTTAAAGGTTCAGCGGTCCTGATCCTCTTTGCCAGCCGCTGGATACGAGCAATGACGTTGACAGCTGTAGCCCATCTTGAGAACCGCAGCAGATGCTTCTGGATGTCAAACTGTCTTGCTGCCTCAACCTTCAACACCTGAGTAGTCCTCACCTCTGGGTCTCCCACCAGCAAATCTGAAGTAGCCTGTTTGGTGGCTATCTCTCTTTCCCATAGAAAGCCTGGGCCAGAGAACCAATTTGACTTGATGAGGTCAGCTACTTTGAGGCCTCTCGATGCATGATCAGCAGGGTTTTCTCCTGTGTCCACATAATACCATTTCCGTGCATCTGTGTTTTCTCGAATTTTCTGAACACGATTTGCCACGAACACATGGAACCTTCTTGCTTCATTATTGATGTAACCAAGCACGACCTTTGAGTCTGTCCAAAAATATTCGTCATCAATCTTGAGCTCTAGCTCCTCCCTTAATATGCTGCTCACAGATGCCGAGGTTACTGCTGCAGTTAATTCTAGCCTCGGTATGGTGACTATTTTGGTTGGTGCAACCCTCGCCTTGCCCATGACCAAGGAGCAGCATACCCTTTCTCTGCTTACTACTCTGATGTAAGAGCACTGGCCATACCCTTGACTGCTTGCATCAGAGAAATGATGAAGCTCGGCTCTCTGAATCTCACCAAGGCTGTCAGGTATGAAGCATCTTTGAATTTCAATTCTTTCCAGGTTCTCCAAATCCTTCATCCAAGTCTCCCACCTTAACTTCAAGTCTTTGGGTAGTGGCTCATCCCACCCTGTGCCTCTCTGACACATCTCTTGCAGCACTCTTTTCCCTTCAAGAATGACTGGGGCTAGAAACCCCAAAGGGTCATACAAGGAGGCCACAATTGAGAGGATCCCTCGGCGCGTTGCCAGTTTCTCCTCAAGTGACACCTTGAAGGAGAAGCTATCATTTTCAATGTTCCACCTTATACCTAGTACTCTTTGAACTGGCAAATCATTGTGATTAAGATCAACATTCTTCACCTCCGTAGCACACGCTGCAACCTCCACTGAGTCAAGGACCTCTCGACTGTTGGAGAGAAATTTGTGAAGGTGCAGCTTTCCTTTGGCACACACAGCTTGGGCATCTTTGACCAGTTCAATTGCCTCACCCACCGACTTTACACTTATGAGACCATCGTCGACATAGAAATGTTTCTGGATGAAGCTAGCTGCGGAGGGGTACTCTTTCTCACATTGGCTGGCAAGGTGTTTCATGCCATAATTGGCACAGCCAGGGGAGGATGATGCTCCAAACAGGTGAACCTTCATGCGGTACTCTCTGGGTTCTGAGTTTGTGTCTCCATTTTCCCACCAGAGAAATCGCAGGTAGTCTCTATCATCCTCGCTCACATGAAACCTGTGGAACATTTTCTCCACATCACACATGACTGCGATGGGATATTTACGGAAGCGGCACAGCACAGCTGTTAGGCTATTTGTGAGGTCAGGTCCTGTTAGCAGATGGTCGTTTAAGGAGGTGCCTTCATACCTTGCAGAGCAGTCGAAAACCACTCTGATTTTGCCTGGTTTTCTGGGGTGGTAAACTCCTTGATGTGGGATATACCACACTTTCCCCAGCTCTGCTTGGTTTTCCACTTTCTCTGCATCTCCATCCTTGAAGACACCTTCCATAAATCTCACGTAGTCTATTTTGAATTTGGGATCTCTGTCCAGCTTCCTCTTTAGATGCTTCAACCGTACTAATGCCAGCCTTTTGTTGTCTGGGAGATGTGGACGTGCTTTGAAAGGGAGAGGCATCTCCAGGTGACCCTCCTTATTTTGTTGGATCCTCTCTTTCAAGATCTGCAGGAAGCATATATCTTCTTGAGATATGCTTCTGTCACCAGATTTTGTGTCTGCAAAATCGGACTCTAGGGCCTTGATGACAGCAAATGGCGTTATGGGTGGCATCTCTCTGACAGACACTCGATGGCAAAAACCAGTCACATCTTTAGCTTGCACACGCTGTGGTGCGCTTCCCACAATGCTCCAACCAAGATCCGTCTCAATAGCATAAGGCTCATAGTCGCCCCCAGTGATGACCCTTCTTGGAATTAACGCTCTGGAGCAGTCATATCCAATCAACAATCCAACACCACAGTCCATCAACGGGGGTATCTCTTGGGCCATGCTTACAAGGTGTTTCCATTTGTTGGCTGTCTGACAATTGGGAATATGTGCACGGTCAAGAGGAATGAAGTCCCTTGTGTAGGCTGGAGGCAAATTGATTGAAACGTTTGAGGAAAATCCTCTAACTTTGAGCTTGCATACTCTTTGACTCTTCACGACTGAGTCTCTCCCCATCATGGTGGAAAGTTTAAGTTTCACTGGTTCCATTGCTGCTTTTAGCTTTTCGCACACCTCCTGATCAACAAATGTGTGACTACTTTGAGTGTCCAATAGTGCATACACTAGGGTTTCAGTGTCCGGAGCACTAAGTGTTGAGATCCACACTGGGACTATCATCGACGTACTCCCACCTTCACCTCCACTCACACAACATGATAAAGATGACGTGCTTTCTTCCACT